TTGCCTCTGCCTCCCGAGTGTTGGGATTAAAGGTGTGTACCACCAATGCCTGGCACAACTGTGTCTTTCTAAGCTGGTTTTTCTTTGCCTGCCTTCACTAAAGTAACTATCACAATAGACTAAATGTAGAAACAGACACTGTTACTAAACCAGACATTAAAGAGACACTGGTGGATTGCATTTCCTAATTTTGTATGTGTCTACCAGTAGTTTTCTTTGGAGGAAAGTTTAACTGCATCTTCAGTGTACAGGGCTTTCACAGTTACCCATCTTTTTTTTTAGTCAGAGTCTCAACAAAGCGTCACCTTGGCTGGTATGGAATTTACAGAGATCCACTTGCTTCTGCCACCCAAGTGTTGGGATTAAGGAAGGGTGTGCTAAAATTTGTATCTTTAAAGAAATTGGTTCATCTAATTTATCAATTTATTGGCAGTTAATAGTATTTATTACCTTACCTCCTATGGATCTATGTAGGATGTGTAGTGATGTCTCAGACTCTGTGTGTGTGTGTGTGTGTGTGTGTGTGTGTGTGTGTGTGTGTGTGTGTGTGTTCTGGTGTCTTCACTGCATGAGGGTGTGAGGTACCCTGGAACTGGATTTACAGATAGTTGTCAGCTGCCATGTGGGTGCTGGGAATTGATACCAGGTCCTCTGGAAGACCAGCCAGTGCTCTTAACCATTGAGCCATCTCCAGACTCATTCTTTATACTGGATTCCACCACCACCACCACCACCATCCCACCCATGATCAGTGTGATTAAAGGTTTAATTATACTCAACCATCTTTTGGTTTTATTGATTTTTTTTTCTTTTAAAACAAAAATATTTTCTTTTTAAATTTTTTTCTGTTCTTTATAGTGCTGTTTTTCTATTTTTTCATCATTTCTTAATCTCTTCCTTTTTAAGTGTTAAAGGAAACACTTAAATCAGAGACTTTTTTTTTTAAGCAGTGTGTGTGTGTGTGTGTGTGTGTGTGTGTGTCTGTCTGTCTGTCTGTCTGTCTGTATGTCTGTATGTCTGTATGTCTGTATGTCTGTCTGTCTCATGTTGTGTCCTGTGGTGCCCCTTGTCCCCCAGGTTCTGAGGGTCAAACTCAGGTCACGTGACATGTGCTATGAGTGTCTGTGCCTGCCGAGCCCAGGGATTTTTCTATACCTGGACAGAAACTTGAGTATTGGGGCTTAATGTGGTAGATGGTATCTGCCACAACTGCCTGATTATACCATTGTAACAAGAAAGCCATGGGCATGTTGTAAGTAAATAGCTGGCCACTGTTGTAAGATTTTTTTGCACAAAAACAGCCAGTGGCCAAAGTGTGACTTGTGGTTTAGATCAGCATGTTTTTTTGTTTGTTTGTTTCCCTAAATGTTTAATACAATGTTTTCCTTTAAAGACTGTTTTATTTGTACACCACACCTCATTACTTTGTGTTTTTGAAACAGCCTCTGTAGTCTAAACCTTGAGAGCTGTTCTATTCACAGTTCCTTCCTACTCCCACTCAGAGCCCAAAGATCTATAATCTACTTTTTATCTGCAAATGTGCCTTTTCTGGGTATCTTCTATATGTGGAATTTTATAATATATGATCCTTGTGTCCAGTTTCTTCTCTTAGCTTAAGTTTTGGAAGTTCATCTATCACACAGCATATATCAGTAGTCAGTTTCTTTATTTTAATTGCTGAGTAGTATTCCATTGTGTGGGTATGTCAAACCATTCTGCAAATAATACACATTACCAGTTTGAGGATAAGGTGAATCATAAAAGTGAACATTTTGTGACCAGCTTTTGTGTAGACATGTGTTTTCATTTTTCTGGGTAAATACCTAGGAGTAGAATTGCTGACCATAGATTGCTATTTTCCAAAGTTAGTGTTCTGTTTACATTCCCATTGGTACTGGATTCCACTTCCAGTCTCTCCACATTCTCCACTGTCTGTCTCCTATACTCTATGTTCTAATAGGTATGAAGCCCTAGTGGTTATAATGTCTTTTTTATTGGATTGTTTGTCTTCTCTTTGTGCTGTGGGGCTTCTTTGTGTCTCAGGCTGGCCATGAACTCTCTGTGTCACCTAGGATAGCCAACCTTCAACTTCTCATTCTCATGCCTCTACCTCCTACTGGGATCACAGGGTATTATATGCAACTGGGGACTGAAGGCAACCACCACATGTGTTAAGCAAGCCATATCCTCAGCCTCATTCATTTCAACCTTTTAAAAAATATGTCGTGTTACTTGCTAATTTTTGAAAGTTTCCTAAGAACAGCTATTTTGTTGTTTTTAGGAAACTTGAAGTGCTTCTTAAATTGAACTTGTCAATTTAAATCTGTCAGCAGTTGCAGCATTCTGTGGCCAACAACAGGGCCCTGCCTGCCTGTGCTCTCAAAACTCACAGCTGTGGGATATAGATCTGATTCAGAAAATGTAAACTTTAGAAATTACTGAGGGTAGGGGGAGGCTGCTGGGAAGACAGGAGGAAGGGGAAGCTGTGGTCAGAATAAATTTTTAAAAAGAGAAAAAAAATTGCTGTGATTTTTAAATTATTCCTTTTAAAAGAATGCTTGTAAAATAGGCCATTTTTAATTGTAGACGATTATGGAAAAATGTAACAGATTCTCTGAGGGAATCTGAAATTGACAAGGCCACAGAGCACAAACGTACCTTGGAGGAACGCCAGAGAACCGAAGAAAGACATCGGACTAAAACAGGCACCCCCTGGAAAACCAAATATTTTATTAAAGAGGTATGTTCTGCGTGCGTTCAGTCAGAACTCTGGCTTACCTAGTTACCTTCAGTCACTGACTCTTGTACGTGTTTCTTTTTAAAGTAGTCCAACTAGAGTTTGCAGCAGTGGCCAATTAGTAAAGCCCTTACTTATAAATATGAAGACCTGAGTTCAGATCCCCAGAACCCACATAAAGAGCTGTAACTCCAGAGCTAGCCAGCCAACCCAGTAAATCAGAGAGCTCAAGGTTCAGTGAGAGACCCTGCTTCAAAAAATAATGTAGGTGGCCAGCAAGGTGGCTCCGTGGGTAACGCACTTGCCACCAAGCCCAGTGATCTGAGTTTGATTAGGATCAGCATGGTGGAAGAAGAGGACTGACTCCCCAAAGTTGACTCCACACTTGCACACAAAATAAATTAAATAAATAAATGCAATTTTTAAAACAGAAAAAAATAAGGAGAATGACTGAGGAAGCAACCCAACATCTGGCCTCCACCCTCATGTACGTAGTACATATGTGCACACAGACGCTCACTCAGACACAGACAGACAGACAGACAGACACACACACACACCACACACACACACACACACACACACACACACACACACACACACACACACAATTTAGCTTAACTGGGAACTTTCTCATGAGCTTTCCATGATTTGTTCAAGTAATAAAGCTTTCCCACAGATCAGATAAATATATTTGGAGATTAAAGTGGGCTACAAATGAAAATGCTAACCTAATGTTCAGTAGTAGGAGGTGCAGGGTAGTTGACTGTCTTTTACATCACATCTTAAGCTCTGTTCACTTCTCACATCACCGTTTAAGGGAGACAGAAGACATTTCATTGGCCATGCAGAGATTGTGAAGGGGCTAGATGGAGGGATGATTGGCATAAAGAAAGAGAGCCAGGGATGCATTATTGTAAGTTTCTTCACAGTATTTGACTTACTACACAGAAATGTTTACCAGGGACTGGAAGAGTAGCTCAGTGGTTTGAACACCAGAACCAAAAAGTTCAAGTACATGATTAGAGCCCAAATTACCACCAAGCAAGTCTTGCAGACAACATCAAAAGACACTGTATAACAATCCAAAACATGGTGGGTGGTGGTGGTGCATACCTGTATTCCTAGCACTCAGGAGGCAGAGGTAGCTGGATCACTGAGTTCAAGACCAGCCTGTAGACACAGGTCTACAGAGTAAGTTTCAGGACAGCTACGGCTACACAAAGAAACCCTGTCTCGGGGGAAAAAACAAAACAAACAAAAACAAAAAAATAAAGCAATACATAATTGGGAGTGGAGAGATAACTACCTGTGCGGATGACCTGGGATCAGTTCTCAACATCCACATTGGTGACTCACAACTACCTGTAACTCCTGTTCCAGGAGATCCAGTGCCCTCTGTTCTTCTCAAACACCTGCATACACACAGTACACATACACTCACATAGGCACAGCCATATACACATACAGACTGTGAGATAGCTCAGCAGAGAAAGGTGCATGCCTCGTGATGCCGACGCCCTAAGCTTGCCTCTGGGACAGCTCCCAAAGGTTGTGTTCTGACATATGGGCTTTGTTGCACACACATGGCTAGACACTTAACATACACATGCAATAATAAAAGTTTGTTTTAATTCTGTAATTCATTTTAATAGCTTCTGTACTTTTATTTTTTCTAAACTTTTACCAACTATTTTTTGAAAAGGAATAACAAATAGAACATTTTTACTTTTTTGGGAGGGCAGAGGAGTTCACACTTACTAATATGGAGGTAACATGACACATGTCATATTAGCAAGAATGTCAGGGTGCTACTGGACATGGTAGTGCACGTTTTAAGCCAAATACTTGGAAGGCAGAAGCAGAAGGAAACACAGGCAGATAGATCTCTGTGAGTTCTAGGCTAACCTGGTTGATATAGAGTTCCAGTCCAGCTAGGGATACTCTGTGAAACCCTGTCTCAGGAAGAATGGATGGATGGATGAATCAGGGCTGCCGTTTAAGTCCTGTTTTATAGGAGCTCCCTGTTTAGTCCAGAGCTAATTTTTAATGATAGATCTGTTCCTGTTGTACTTATTTCTTTAACCCAGGTTACCTGGATGTAATTTTGAATAGCAATCACAAATGTTTATTCGTATAAAAATAGAGATGCTAAGCTGGTGAGATAGCTTAGCAGGTAAAGTCACTTGCCACTTAACCTGGTAGGTAACCTTCCTGGAACCAATATAAAGTTGTTTATTTCCTTGTACCATGTTGGTTCCAAGAAAGCTTTTAATTTGGGCTGGCTTACAGTTCAGAGGTTTTTAGTTCATTATAGTCATGGTGGGAAGCATGACAACATGCAGGCAGAACACGGGACTGGAGAAGGAGCTGAAAGTTCTACACACAGGTCAGAAGGCATAAGAAGAGAGTGACACTGGACTTGGCTTGAGCTTCTGAAACCTCCAGCCCATCCCCAGTGACACTTCCTCCACACCTACTCCAGTGAGGCCACACCTCCTAACAGTGCCATTCCCTGTGAACCTTTGGGAGCCATTTTCATTCAAACCACCACATGTAAACATCTATAATTTGTATGAGATACTGAGGTTCTAGCTCTGGGTGTTTGTCTGCATGTGTACACGTTTACCACATATGTGCATGGTGCCTGTGGAAGCAAGAAGAGAGTGTCAGATCTCCTTGAATTGGAGTTAGAGTTGTAAACTACCTGTGTGGGTGCTGGGAGCTAAACCTGGGTTTAGTTAGCAAGTGCTCTTAACTGTTAAACCCATTTGCCAGCCCCTTTATCCCCACACACTGTGATGGTAAGCAGATGAAAAAAATGACAAGTCTAATGAAAGAGTGTGTTTGTTCAAGCCTAGATGATGTGCTTTGGTAACTGTCACTAGACTCATAGTTTAGAAATGGACGCTCAGACCTGGGTCCCTTTGTTGGTCCCTTTGTAAGTGTTAACCTTGGCACAAGTGCAGCAGACAGGGTAGAGTTGTCTGGTATTAACGCTTGTCCTTCCCTTTGTGTGACTGGATGGTGACATGTGTGTGATCACACATGGGAAGACTGCAGGGTACCAGTAAGGCTGAGGGTGGTTGCCAGTCCTAAATTGAGAGCCTCTGTCCACACGCTGGCTCTTTGCTCCTAGGATATGGATGGAGACTGCTGTATCTCCTGTGTCCTCCACAGAGCTTAGCATATCACAGATGCTTCGTAAATACTGTATGAGAACTTTCACCTCTCACAGCCTCCATTTTCTTCCTGCTGGACTCAAACTCAGTCCTCCTGCTCAACCTACAGGTGCTGGGATTATAGCTGTGTGCCACCTACCAGAAGCTCAAAGCCTCTGTTTTGTGTCTGAAGTAAGGTGACTGGGTAGCACATGATAAATGTTTTGTATGATGTTGTATGACATGGTTAGCAGACATCTTTCCCACAGAGCAGTGTAAGTGCTGAGATCTCTAGACCAGATGGTTTCACATGGTGAGCAGCCTGGTGGTTGACGTCATAAAGACATGAAGTGACATCCCAGTAAAAACAGTTGCAGTCCAGGACAGATGGTAAACTCAGTGCCGAATTTGACGTTAACAAGTAGGGATTTCTAGGCACAAGGCAGTGTGAAATAATGGCCAGGGGGGTGGGGTTAAGTTTGGTAAGTTTGCATAAACTGGTCCTTGGGATTCATTGCTACAGCAGGACCCACCGGTCAAAGACAAGGCTTATTCAAGACATCTCCAAGAGCCTGACTGGTTCAGCTAAATTATTTATAAACTGAAGGAGACTTGGGGGACACACCTGACTTTACCTACCTGTGTGACCTCGGGCGAGCAGTCCTCATTCCCCTGACCGGCACTGATTGCCACATGCCTGCACCGGCTGCTGCATTCTGCATTATTACCGCAGCTCTTCCTCCTTCTGCTCTTTGGTCGTTACTTCATGAACATTTCCTTGTTCTCTGCCTGCTACCTGTAATTCTGAGGCTCCGTCTGCAGCATCTTGGCAAATGACAGGATTGCTGCAGGTGACCTCTGCAGAATTACATGTCCAAGGGTCACAAGTGGTATTTGCACACAACACAGTTGCTTTCCTTGCCTGTCTGACAGAGTCTCTGACACTAAAGGGGGGGGGGTGGCATTCTGGCTCGCTATTCAGGGCTGTAGTCTGTTTTAGTGGCAGGCAGGAACATGCTGGGCGCTTGAGAAGGCTGGTTGTGTCACCTTGGCAGTCAGGTCATTAGAAAGCAGAGCTGGGCAGAATCCCCTTCAGATCCCAAGTCCCCCAGTGGACCACTGCCTCCAGTGAGGCCTCACTTGTAAAAGGTTCCTCAACCCCCTTAACCACCATCAGACTGTGGGGACCATTCACATTCAAACCGTAGCATCCCTGAAAGCTGCAGGCATGGTCTTGTTCTCTGGAGAGCTCCATTTGCAGTTTCTGACTGGACATGCTGGCAGGGTGCTGCTTTAATCCCTTTTCCTTGTTTCAGGGAGATGGCTGGGTTTATCACAAACCCCTTTGGAAAGTAATCCCGTCACAACCAGCAGAGTGACACATGCTTTCTAAGATTGGACCAAATGAGGTTCTCCTCTGTGTACCCCAAGCCCTCTCAGACGGAGTCCTTGCACTGAGTGACCTGCCTCCTAATTGTACAGCATGAAACTAGCTGAACACGAATGTACCTACTCGAGCCCATCACCCTGCAGCAAGACCAAAGTGTTAAGGACCTGTGATGGGCCTCTCGGCAGCCTGTTCACAACGTGAGCAATACCATCTTACAGCCTTCCACCCACCCCACCAGTACGTGTGTCATCCTCTATCTGGCCATGGTCCAAAAGCTGCTCGAGCCCCTGGTTTGTACGGGGGCAACAGATGACAGCGGTGAGAACTCAGTGACTGTGGTTCCTTTGTATTGAAAACTTAAGTCTCTTGCAGAGTTTTTTGCTTTCTGTCCATTTCTGAAGTATTCACTGATCTTCTAAACCAACCAAGAGGGAGACGAAGGTGACCTATAAGTGGATTCAGCCATCGTGCCTGAAGTCAGTGTTGACACATCACAAGGCCTCTTTTCCTCCGGAGGCTGTGCCTGCACCCAAGGAAGCCCACCACCTGCTCTGCTGGAACTCTCTTTTAAAAGTGTATTTATAATTAGAATTGTAACCATGGAGGAATTTTTTTCTTCTGAGCATTTTAATATACTTGAAAACAGCATTGACTTGAAAAATTTCAGAACATTTTTCAATACCTAGTTTTATTAAATATTACACTTAAGAGACAATTTTTTAAAATGTGTTCATGTCAGTATGAGATTTTGGCCTTTCTCAAGAACTAAGGCATTAAAACAATAGCAAATATTAAAAAAATACAACTGTTACTTTTTCCTTACCTATTTTCATTTGTAGGTTCATATTCAGTATTATGTGCTATCCTGAGTAAGTTTGCTTTATCTGACCTCTGTTTACTCAAAAGTTAAAACTAAACTTGTTCATGTCTGTCAGTAATTCAATTATGTCTGTGACTGAGTGCACATAAAGTATGGTTTTATTTTCAAGGAAATTTAAATGCTGAAGAAAGGGTGTGAAATAAAAAGCAGGAATTTGCATTCAGGTACAAATTGGTTTTTTTAATAGGTATTTTATTGGGGTTGAAGAGTTGCTGGCAATGAACAGAATAGTGCTAATTATGGTTTTCATTTATTTGAGTATTTCCTGAGCACCCGCTGGTGGTGCTGACCCTTGTTACTGCAAGCTACCTTCACTGTTCCAGAGTGGTGCCTTACCCTGCTCCTGCCCGTGGTCTTCCAGTCGGCGTGCAACATGCACCTGTCACTCAGCAGCCGTGCCAGTCGGCTGCGCTGTGCTCTGAGAAACTCTTTTCTTAGAAGGGTTAAAAGGATGAAAACATCAACAATGATTTTTCAGCACATTGTAAATTAAAAGAATTGGTTTGTGTACAACCATTTTCCTGATTCCCTTTTCATTTTTGCTGTGAAGTGCACTGAAAAAAAAAATCTCAAAATGAGCTATAGTTCATGTGTTGGGAAAATTGAAAAAATAATAAAAATAGAGAACAGCAGTGTTGTTGTCTGCTTTATGAGTGGAGAGAAAAGGTCTGTGTGTGTGTGTGATACACGCCCCCTCCCCCACCCAGAAGCTATCTCCAACTGATAGTCACTTGCAAATGAAAAGTTGGGAGTCTCCTGGGGAAACAAACCACTCTTAAGGGCAGACCCCATGGCCAGATGGCCAGCACAAATACAACTGGCATCTTTGCTTTTGAGTTTTTATGGGATCCCGAAATATGCAAACATGCATCTGTGTCTGTATGTGTTTCTTGTGCTTTTTCATTGGCTCCTTTTCTTATTTGATTGTTTTGTTCTATTCTGTTTGTTTTTGTTTTATTGTATTATATGTTTGTTTACTTGCTTGCTTGCTTGTTTTTTGAGGCAAGATTTCTCTGTGTAGCCCTTGCTGTCTCTGTAGAGCTGGTCTTAGACTCACAGAAATCCACCTACCTCTGCCTCCCAAGTGTTGGGACTAAAGGTGTGTGCTGCCACCACCCGGCTTATTGTATTGTATTTTTATTATAACTCCTTAGATGCCTGTTTTGGGGGATTTTTTTAGGATTTATTTATTTATTAATTACATATACAGTGTTCTGCCTCTGTGTGCCTGCAGGCCAGAAGAGGGCACCAGATCTCATTTGAGATCCCTGTGTGCAACCATGTGGTGGCAGAATTGAACTCAGGACCTTTGGAAGAGCAGCCAGTGCTCTTAACCATTGAGCCATCTGACCAGCACCATTATTTAGTGATTTTTTTAAGGGTCACAATTTTAACTATTAATGTACCAGGCAGTGGTGGCACACACCTTTAATCCCAGCACTCAGGAGGTAGACATGGGTGGATCTCGATCTCTGTGAGTTCAAGGCCAGCCTGGTCAACAAAGTGAGTTCCAGGACAGCCACAGCTGTTACACAGAGAAACCTTTTCAAAAATAAATAAATAAATAAATATTAAATGTATGGGAGCAAGAAGGCCTGAAGTATACTTTGGAAGCCAATTTAATAAGCCCCCTTTATATGTGTGACACATACTTTATCATTTTTGCTCCTGTCTTAAGGTTTTTTTTTTTTATTGCTGTGAAGACACCATGACCACAGCAGCTTTTATAAAGAAAACATTTAATTGGGGTGGCTCACAGTTCAGAGTTTCAGTCCATTATCATGACAGGGAGCATGGAAGTGTGCAGACAGATGTGGTACTGGCTATATGACTGGAAGGCAGCAGAAAGTCATACTAAGGGAAGCTTGGGCAAAAGAGAGCTCAAAGCCCCCCCCCCCACACACACACACAGTGACACTTCCTCCAACAAGGCCATGCACACTCCAACAAAGCCACACCTCCAAATACTGCTACTCCCTGTGAGATTATGGGGGCCAATTACATTCAAACTACCACACTGTTCTTTTAGAGAGCTCTAACATGACAAATAATAATGCAATTAACTTGGATATGAGATTATGCTACAATCCCAGGACATACGAAACTGCAGTAGGGGAATCTCAAGTTAAGGCCAGTCTGTACTCATAGCCTAACAGCCTTAATTTTATCTCTGGTACCTTCATGGTAGAAGGATAGCAATGACTCCTATAAGTTGTCCTCTGACCTCTGTACATCAATGCAAGAAGCTGAAAGCGTCATGCTAGAAGGACCAGAGACGCAGCCCCAGGCCCACTTGATGGTCTTGCAGTTCCTGGAGAGTGCTAGTGTGAGTCCACATTGGAAGCTTGATAGAGCCTGATGTCTCTGAGCCCTGACACCAGCCAGACTGCTCCAGCTGAAGATGAGTGAAGCTGTCTTAGTTACTGTTCTGTTGCTGTGAAGAGACACCATGACTAAGGCAACTCTTAGCATTTAATTGAGGATTGCTTCAGTTTCAACGGTTTAGTTCATTATCATGGTGACAAACATGGCGGCGTACAAGCAGGCACTGGAACTACATACATCCTTATCCATAGGCAGAGAGAGACTGGGCCTGGTGTGGGCTTTTGAAACACCAATGGCACACTTGCTCCAACAAGCCACGCCTCCAGATCCTTTTCAGATAGTGCCACTCCTGGTGACTAAGTGAAAGGACTGCATTTGACATAGGACATACCAGGACCAGGTTCTCAGCACAAAGGAGATTTATTTGCCCCCAGAGGACAAAGGGCAGGGAATAAGAGACAAAGACGGGAGACAGGACGAGGAAGAAAAGAAGGGAACAATGGAGGAAGGATAGGGATTTTGCTCCAGAGGGACAAATGACTGTCTGGATAGAGGAGACAGACTTGGCCCATAAGCAAATGGCAGTTTCTAAAGGAAAAGGGGGAACCCCATGTTAGGATGAGTTGGTCTTTTTTGATTGGGCATGTTAATTAGAGCAGCCAAAGGGGTCTCTTGATAGCTGGACCTTGATGGTCAGCCTCAGGAGGAGGAAGTGGCTAAATAAGGGAGTAGACCTTGGTGGCCAGCTTTAGGAATGTAATCTAACAGTTTAGCAAGGCAGAGAGAACAGGAGAAGGGCAAGGCCTGCCAGAGCCATGTTTGCCATGCTTAGATCTATTAGAGCCCTTCACTAAGCATTCAAATATATGAGCCTGTGGGGCCAGGCATTCTTTCTCAAACCGTCACATTCCACTTCCTGGTTCCCATAGGCAACCATATCATAAAGCAAAATGCACTCAGTGCAGCTTCAGAAGTGCCATAGTCTGTGAAAGTCTCTTCTGAGACCCAAGACAATCTCTTTAACTATCACCCCCTAGAAAATCAAAATCAAGAAAGGCAGATCACATACTTCCAACATACAATTCTGAGCAAAGAAACTCTCCGGTGACTTCCTCAGCCCCCAGAGATAGGGAGGGACGGGAATCACATGGTTATCTAAAGGTGGGGGCTTAAATACCCTGTAGGCTCGGGGGCGATGAAGTCTCCATCAGAAGCTGGGTTTGTGCCTAAGCATGGTACACTTTTAGGCAGTGTGGTAGACTATTATTTTAAGGTGTGCGACTTCAGCTTATGTTGCATTTGTTTAACTCTGTGAAGCTGTGATTCTTTGCTTGTCTAAAACACCTGATGAGTTGAGTGACCAATAGTGAGGAAGGAGAAAGGATGGGCGGAGCGGGCAGGCAGAAAGGAGAAGGAGAAGGAGGAGGCGAAGACCGAGGAAGAGGAGCAACAAGAGGACAAGGAGAGGAGGATGTCAGGGCCCAGCCACCCAGCCAGCCATGGAGAAAGAAGGAAAGAGGGAAAAGGTAGACAGGTTAATTTAAGTTAAGAAAAGTTGACTAGAAACAAGCCAAGGTAAGGCCGGGCATTCATGAGTAATGACTCCATGTGTGTGATTTATTTGGGAGAGATAGGTCTCGGCCCCCAAAGAGTAAGAGCAAAGAATAAAAAACAACTGCAGGCAGGGTTTTAGGCCGCTGGCCACTTCAGGGGAAGAGCCACCAGCCACCAAGAACTGGGCTCTTCTCCACTGGTGATTCTCTGAGAGGACGGGGTTTGGCAAGAGAGAAAGGGGGCTTTTGCAGGAACAAGCTAGAGCAATGGTATAAATCTAATTTCAAATGCCATAGATAACCCACAGATTAAGGGGAAAATAAAAGCCAAACCCAAGCATGTCACTGTACAACTTTTCGACACTGAGGATAAAGAGGTTCTGGGCTGACAAGGTGGCACAGTGGGGTGAGTGAGGAGCCTCTGCTGCTGAGCCAATGACACAAATTCAGTCCCCAGATCCCTTGTGGTAAGATCAGCTCCTCTGACCTCCACACAAGTGCATGCGCCTCTCCCTAACAGAAAACAAATAGGTGCTGGGCGGTGGTGGCGCACTCCTTTAGTCCCAGCACTCTGGAGGCAGAGGCAGGCGGATCTCTGTGAGTTCAAGGCCAGCCTGGGCCACAAAGCCACACACAGAAAACCCCCCTTAAAAAAAAAAAAAAAAAAAAAAAAATTAAAGGGGAGATGATTTCAAAAACAGAATGGCATTACTCTTTTCATTAACTGAAACCTAAAACAAAACAAAAACAAAAAACAAGCAGTGCTGTCCATGTTATTCAACAAGACAGTGCATTTTACATCAGGAAGAAGAAAACTGAGAGGGTCTGAGATCTGTGGCCAGTGATGAAGGGTGGCGTCTCACCTGCACCCACAGCAGACACCCAGGAACCAGCCTCTCTGCAAGTGATTTTTTTTTTTTCCTAGGGACCGCACTGGCTAGGAAGTCCTTTCCATTAAATCCCTCTTGCTTTTAAGTCACTGGTTTTGGTTCTGACTAGGTTGACATGAGATGGGCATGGCTGGTGCCACACACAACAGTGTTTGAAGCCTTGTACACCAGTTTGCCCAGACTCATCATCTGACTTTGCTGCTGTTCCTAGGATGGGCTCATCTCACTGACAGTCTCCTGAGAATACACCTTGTCAGTGTGAAGGCTTCACCAATACATCAGGAAATTAAAATGTATGCAGTTTGATAAAAAGTGTGTGTGTATGTGTGCTGGGTGGGCTCTGTGCGTGTGCAGGCGTGCATCTGGATTGGGGGGGAGGGGCAGGAGCTGACATAGGATATCTTAGTCAGTTCCTTCTGATCTCTTCACCACATTCTGTTTGCTTGGTTTTGTTTTTTTTTGTTTGTTTGTTTGTTTTGTTTTGCTTGAGACAGCGTTTCTCTATGTAACATCCCTAGCTGTCCTGGAACTCACTCTGTAGACCAGACTGGTCTCAAACTTATAGAGATCCATCTGCCTGCCTCTGCTTCCCGACTGCTGGGATTAAAGGCGTGCACCACCACTGCCCAGCTCCCCTTCATTTTTTAAGAGAATGTCTCTCATTTATCCTGGAACTCACGGATTGGTTAGACTGGTTTCAGGATCCTCTTGTCTTCCCCTTCCCACCCCTTCCTAGAAATCTGTTCTTTCACAGCCCTGGAAACCTGGAGTCTGACATGAGCAGTCAACAGAGGTGCTGAAAGGATCACTTCTTCCCCCACAAAGATGATGAGCATAGGATTTGGGGCCGACCTAGATAATTAA